TATGTGTCACGAAAATCGAAAAAAATGGGCAATTTTTCCAAAAAAACCGCTAAAAAACGCATTTTTTCGATTTTTGTGACACGTATAACTTTTTAAGGGAAAGTCGTACAGAGCTCAGGGACGTCTCATTTTGCAGAGAATTAACTAATCTACAGTTGTACTTTAACAAAACATCATTTTTTTTGCAGCTTCAAGGTGTTGAAAAACCGGAGTTTTGATTTTCTGGAAACCCTGTTTTTCAGAAATCATTGAGAGTTCTGAGGGTATGATATTCTTGTAGGAAATAATTTTCTCTATCCAAATCACTAGTTTGGATTTCTTTTAGCACATATGGTGTGAGAAAAAGCCGAAAATACAGGTGGACTAATAATTTTTGGAGCCACTGTATATTTTGTTTTATGATTAATAATATTATATAGTTTCCAAATCAAACGGAAGATTATGTACATCGTATTGGTCGAACAGGACGAAATAAAGAAATTCTTGGAACTTCGTATATTTCATTTAATTTTGTATTTTTTTTGTTTTTGATAAATATATATTTCTATTAGATATACATTCTTTACATCTGAAAATGCTAAACAAGCACCAAGTCTTGTTCGAGTTTTACAAGAAGCTGGACAAAATGTAAATCAAGATTTAATGGAAATAGCTGAAGAACAATATTCTACAACTAGTTCAAAATATGGTAAAATAGAAGAAAATATTTTTATAATTAATTTTGTTTTTTTTTTTGTTCTTTTTAGGATCGAAAAATCAAACATATAATAATCAACAACAATCAATAAATAATTTTCATTCTTATCGTAAATATTTTATTTTGAATTTAATTCAAAAAAAACAATATATATTTGAATGAATTTTTTTTTTGTAGCATTACATCAATCAGTTGAATATATTCCATCCATAACACAACCAATGAACTATATTCCATCTCTTATTTACAACCAATTTTAGAGTTTTCTTCTTTTCATTCTTATACAGTGAATAATAAAAAAAAACAAACACTCAGATCAAAGAAAACAAAAATAGGAAAATGAAAAGTAAATGTTCTTTTTTTTTTTTGTTTGTCTATTTAATGATTCTTTTTGTATTTGTTTGGGTGCTTTTTTTTTATTTTTTGCTATATATATATATATCAGAGTTATATCAACATGTATGAAATAAAAAAAGAAATAATTAAACGTTCAAATAATTTTTTATTTTCTTAAATTAGTATCACATGATCATGTTGATCGAACAGAATCATATCATTATTTTTAACAATTATTAAACTCATTGGAATAACTGATATATATCGAAAGATATAAGAAAAATTTTTTTTTTAGCTGTTATTTTTTGAGAAACAATGTTACCAGTAGCTGAAGAGTGTGGATGTACCCTATTGATAAACTGTATATTTACCTCTGTTTTTTTGACACTAGAGACCATCGGATGCAAAACTTTTTTCTGATCCGGATCGGAATCGTATTTTTAATTTCAATGAAATTTTTTAGTTGGCAGGGACGGCGCGAAGAGGTCGGGACAGGGGGGGGGTCAGTTCTAAAATCGGAGGAAGTCAAAAATTGTTCTCCACACTAAAGTTTTCTCAGAATGAGAGAAAATTGTATAATATATTTTTCCAAAATCGAATAAAATCGCTCAAAACTATTCTCGAAACTTGAATTCTCCTTTAATTTAGAAGAAATTTCTAACGAATTTCTCCAAAATGGGAGAAAATTGCCTGATAATTTTCTCCGGAATTGGAGTTTTTTGCTTTCAGAGAAATACATCAAACAATTTTCTATAAATTCGGACAAAATTCAAATTTGGAGAACGTTTTTAGGCAATTTTCTGCCACATTGGTTGAAGTGCATTTAACAATTTTCTTCAATTTTGGATAAATTTGTTTTATATATGCCTTCAAAATCGGACAAAATTCAAGTTTGGATAATGTTTTTAGGCAATTTTCTCTAATTTCCGAGAAATATTTTGATCAACTCTCTCCAAAATTGGATTATCTCCGATTTTGGAGAAAGTTATTAAACAGTTTTCTCCAGTTTTTGAAAAATTTTTATAATATATTTCTTCAAAATCAGAGAAAAGTGCTTAAAAGTGTTCTCCAAAATATGAGAAAGTCCCAGCCAAAATTTTCTGGAGCAGAGGGGGGTAACCCTCTCCCTCCCGGATCGCGCCGTCCCTGTTCGTTGGAGTCTGATAGTCACTCCGAATAAGCAAGATATACTCGTATTCTGCTACTTAACATATCCTACACATTTCTCAGGCAATGTTGATAATTATCTTCTTATAATAACTAATCAAGTCATCATTGATTGTTACTTTTAGAGTATAACCTATTGAGTTGATCTTGGACTCCACCTTCTCTATTTGGAATTACTCATGCTTTAGTTTTAAAGAATCACCCTAAAACTTGATTTATCTATTGAAAAGAATGCTATTTGCAATTTCATATACTTTTGTTCATGAATGACAGTATTTTTCATTACTAAATTTTTTTCAGCAATCATTTCACACGATTAATTCTCAATAGAATGTAGATGCTGTTTCAGATTCTCGCTTCTCGGTTTCAAAAACTACGTATCAATAACGTCTCGTTATAATATATGAACTATTTCCTTATTACATTTCTTGAGGATTAAGTAAGAGAATGGTAAAAATATATATTCTAAAATGAAACGAATAAAACAATCTCCTTCTGATTAGCAACAGCAACTACAACTTGTTTTACAATTTTATCCTCCAGGGCTTGTGCTAACAGCTTTTTTTCAAATGAATATGTAATTTTTCTACACAAGCACGTGTCCTATTCACTAATAGTTTTCACCATACACTAATTAGCTTCATCATATATTAATGTATTTGATCTCTGGAAGTTGAATGTGAATGTGGAGTTCTGTGTATCGTATAGAAGCATTCGAGAGGAGATAATGGAAAAGCACAAATTGAAAAAGAAATTTTTATTTTTTTTGATACCATTTCAGGAAGTGTACATCCAACATTAATGAATAGCAATTTCACTAAAGGAAATCTTTCTTTTTTTTGTTATTTCCGAATAGTCTGAATAAATATAGATTGAGAATTATTGTTCAAACATGAACTTTATCAATAGAGAAATATCTTTATTTCTAGTTAGATTTAATAAAACATTGATTTATTATAATAAAAAAAAAAAAAAAAAAAAACGAAAAGAAACACTAAACATACACACATATATACACACCTGTAAAAACCTATTATTATGTTCTTTCAAAATCATTATTAACTAAATATAAAAAGAAAAATATTTTTTAGAAAAAAAAAAACTTTTAGAAAAATAATTTACTTTGATATTCAATTATATTATTTACAGGATAACAAGTTGATGATGTTGAAGAACGAAACCATTGTTGAAAACCAATATTTGTTCGAACATTTCTATGTGCACTTGTATCAATAATTAATGATCGACGATTATTAACAAATCGAAGTGTATTTGTAAAAAGTGTTTGTAAATAAGTACTTAAAATTTGTTGATATTCATTAAATATAATCCATGTTACACTTTCAAAACATCCAGGCCATGTTAAACTACCTAATTAATAGCAAAACAAAAAAAAAAGAAAAACAAACAAAAATCTTCTACCTTCATAAGTCATATATTCTGATGAAAAAGGCATTAATTCTTTTAAATTAAGATTATTTATTTCAATATCTGATGGTCTATAAGTATTATTTAGTAATTCAGCATGATTTAAAACATAACGTAATTGTGCTGATGTATCACCACCCAACTTTTAAATGATAAAAAATAAATAAAATATTTCTCTATAGTACATATTACTTACCATTAACATACTAGATACTATAACAATACCTTTCGGTGATGTTTGTGCTTGTGCATAATCTTTATAAAGATCTGTATTATAGGCAACAAGTTGAATCTAAAATAAGAATTATTCAATCGATAAATTTAATATTCATTACGCTTTATACTTCTCCATGAAATGATCGATTATCAATTTGATGTTCACTTCCACGTGGCATTTCATCTCCTATAGTTGGTGGTGCTAAACGTATATAAATTTCTACAGGACGATATTCATATTGAAGTGGACCACCACTAATATGAATATTTGAATTTGAATGATATGGAATAATTATATAAAGATTACGTCCATCATTACGAAGTATTCCATGTACCTATTAGAAATATATATTCGAGTTTTTTTTTTACGGAGAAAAAAAAGCGACACAAAAGCAAACAAACATTATCACTATTATTGATATAAATTGGTCTTAATTGATAATCAAATATTAAATGACGACTTTCAATATTAATCGGTGATTGAAATCGACCAGCATCACAAATAGGAAAATAAAATCCCCATGCTGCAGGACCACTAACACCATCAGTATAATCCCACCAATTCCATATTTCACGACGAACAAATGATGCAGCATGTTCAATATCAATATCTAATTAAATAAGAATATCATCAGCACAAAAAAAAAACATTTTGATATTCTTAAAATATTTACTTGAATTAATAATTAGTATATAATATTGAACAATAATAAATAGTAATAAATATTTTAATATCATTTCTATTAATGTACTCGTCAATGTATTTTAGTCAAATCAAACTGATCTATGATCATGTTCAAACATCTTCATTTCAATTAGCATAGGCAATGAGCGAAACAACGATAGCCATTGGCATCTTCCTATCATGTTCTATTCTCTTATCATGTATCATGTTTTTCTTTCTTTTTCTATAATTCTAATAATATAAATTCTTCGTCAATTTATGAACTGTCTCACTCGCACTCTCTTTATAGAAATTGTAAACTGACATTTTGCGCCTTTCGGCTATTCTAATTGAATCCATGACCGAGACGATGATACTCATAGTGTATTGACACGACTGATTGATACAGTTGTGTTTGACGTACACGCTTTGATCTGCTATCAATTTTTTTTTCTCTCTTTCTGTCAATGATGATTAGTTCTATAAACTTTGTTAGAAGAATGTTGGAAGTTTAACTACTTCTTTCTATAATATATGATGTTATATTTAGGATTGTATTTGAATATCTTGTTTTTTTTGTTCGAATAAGATATAACGTTTTTCGTAATGAATTAATCTAGTTTCCATATTTATTGCTTTTTGATCTTAATGAAACTCAAATTTGATGTGCATCGTTACTTATGAAAAATGAATAGACATATATATAAGATGAGGAGAGAAAAAGAAAAAAAGTCTAATCAATGAATTCTATTTAATGTTGAGATTGATTCGTTGTTATCAGCAAATAATTGCTCAGTGATGATGAATAACCAATCATTAATTAACTTATCATTATTTTCTTTCTTTTTTTTTTTTTTTTTATAAATGCTATCAATGATAATTATTGAATATTTATTGATGTTATAATAAATTTTAAATATAAGATCAAAACTATATCTATTATTAATTTGTTTTTATAATGATATTTCATCTTTTAAATCATCAAAATAATTATGAATACGTGTTCTGAAAAAGTTTTTCGAAGTATTACCAATGTATCGTCACTCGTGTATTAGTCTTTAGAATATTTATCATATGATTTTGTATTTGTTGATCAATTCGATTTTCATGAAGACTAAGTGTACTCAATGTCTATATAAAAATAAGAAATATATGATAAAGAGCAAAAGAATTTCGCTCTTACTATATTTCGTCTGAGAGCATCAGCAAAATATTGTACACCATTGTTAGTAATTCGATTACGGGAAAGATAGAGTGTAGTTAATGTCTGTATAAAAAATAAAAAAAAGATATATATACGAAAAAAGAGAGAACCAAAGAATTACTGTGTTGTTTTCAAGAGCATGAGCAATACTTTGAGCACCAATGTCACCAATATCATTCCAATAGAGATTGAGTGTAGTCAATGCCTATATGAAATTAGAAGTGTATGATAAAGAGATGAACAAATGATAGTACTGTGTTGTCGTATGTAAGAGCATCGGCAAGATGTTGTGCTCCTTGATCACCAATTAGATTTTGGGAAAGGTGAATAGTTTTCAATGTCTGTATGAATTAAGAAGTGTATATATACAGTCCGCGACAAAAATTTAAACGAAATCAGTTTTTCAGTATTTTTTTACAATTTTTTTTTCAGT